TTATTTTTTTTGCGGAACTGGGGATTGAACTTGGGCCCTTGCGCTTGCCAGGAAAGCGCTTATTCCACTGAGCCATCTCCCCAGCCCCTTAAGTTTTTAATTTTGATGCTGGTCATAAAGATTCATGCCAATATTTCCTTCAAACTTTTTTTTTTTTTTTGGAAACAAGGTCTTACTATGTACCCCAGGTTGGTTTAGAACTCATGGTCCTCCTATTAAGCCTCTTGAGTGCTAAGATTACTGAGATGTGCAACCATGCCCAGTAAAGCTGTCAGGTTTCTTTGTAGTTGAATGTAAGATCTTGGTCTGGGTGCGTCTGGCCCTGCAACTATTTGTCTTTGAAGACAGAACTTTTTTTTTTTTTTTTTTTTTTTGGCAAAACTGGGGATTGAACTCAGGCCCTTGCACTTGCCAGGAAAGCACTTATTCCACTGAGCCCCCCTATTTGTCCTTTTGAGACATGGCCTCACTGTGCAATACAGGCTGTCCTTGAACTTACTTTGTAGCCTAGGATGGTCTTAAAGTCTCAGCGATCCACTGTCTTAGCCTCCCTAGTGCTGGCATTACAGGTGTACACTCCCATGCCTGGCTCTTAAAATTTAATTTTTAATTTATGAATCCCTGCCTCTTTTGTGGAACTAGGTTGTGCTTGGAAAGCGTTTTTTTTTTTTTTTTTAACATTGTGTACGTTATTGTACTGTTGAGTTTTCTCTAGTTCATAGTATCACCTTCATTTCAAAATGCCATTAGTAGTTGTTCCTTTATGATGCTAAATAAAAGGAGGCAAGAAGACCTCCAGCTTCCTTGCTTTCTCCCTAGGGCATAGGTGCTCAAGGTATTTGGTGAAAGAAATAAGCCAATGTGTTTCACTTGACTGACTCTCTTCTCAGTTCCCAAACTAATCAAAATGGGACTAGCCCGAGCTAGTGGAACAAGCCATACCATGATTGGCTCATTTTGTATTCCTTCATGCATGGGAAGTGGATCTGTTGGGCCTGGTGGGGGGCAGAAGGCATAAGAAGACATTGGACCTGTGAGGTGGGTAGGGGAGTAGAGTACTTAGCACCATAGATGGTAGTGATGGAGTGTGCCCACACAGTGCCTGGCAGCCCTCCTAGGCTGAGGATGCTGCCCTTCCCCCTGAATAGCTCCCCAGAGCTCTGCCTGGCCAGCAGCTGTGAAAGACCTTCATGTGCTTCCTTTTTTGAGTATCAGATTTGAGGTGAGATATCTTTCTCTGGATCACAGCAGCCTCTGGTTGTGTTCAGCCCTTCCATGGCTGCCTTATTGTCTCCTAAATGTTGGGGGCTTGGGAGTAGAAACTAGAAGCCAAACAGGGTTAGGGCCCCAGGACTGGTAGGTCAGGTCTCACTAGATCCTGCCCTCAAAGAAGTGTGGGTGACTGGGGAGAGGTGAAGATCATGGTAGCTGTGGGCTGGTGGACGCCTGGTGAAAGTGGGTCAGCCCTAGTGCCAAGAAGGAGCCCAGTGATGGCACTTCTGAATGGCTTTCTGTTCCAGTCCACTAGCCCCGCTCCTTCCAGAGTTTGAAGATTTATATGGAGGGAAAGTCCTTTACATTTTTGTTTTTTTTTTTCTTTTTTGGTGGAACCAGGGATTGAACTCAGGCCCTTGCACTTGCCAGGGAAGCGCTTATTCCACTGAGCCATCTCCCCAGCCCCTATATGGAGGGAAAGTAAAGGTAGCAAGCAGCTCACGTCCCTGAGAGACCAAATGTTTAGGCTCAGCTGGGTACCTGAGGATAATCACACACTTAGTGCAGTAGCCCTTGCCACTGTCCAGAGTGAGTGGGAAACAGCTTGCCTGGTAGCTGAGTTCATGTCTGGGTCTTCCTTGCAGGTTCAAGGGAAGCAGTGAAGATGTCTAATGAGCCACCCCCTCCTTATCCTGGGGGCCCCACAGCCCCACTGCTGGAAGAGAAAAGCGGAGCACCATCCACCCCAGGTAGGGGTTTTGTTCCTGTGGGTCCCTGTCATAGCCCTTCCACTTTTCTCCCCAGGTTGTTTGGCCTCTTATATAGTGAATCTGCTCCAGGATTACCTTATATCTTAAAAGTGACCTCTATCTGGGCCAGTGTGTATAGTGAGACGAACTGAGCCTCCTCTTTCTCTCTGTCTAGGCCGTACCTCCCCAGCTGTGATGCAGCCCCCACCAGGCATGCCACTGCCCCCTGCAGACATTGGTCCCCCACCCTATGAGCCACCAGGTCATCCAATGCCCCAGCCTGGCTTTGTCCCCCCCCATATGGGTGCAGAAGGTGCCTACATGGCTCCAGGTAAGCTGGGAAGGAACCTGAGGGGAGCATGGGAATGGCTACTATCCAGCCTGCACCGTAGACAGCTGGTTATCAATCACAGAATACGGACCCAGTAAGGGGTGACACAGAACAAGATGTGTCATGGGGGAGAACACCAGCTCAGGGAAGCAGTTATAGCAGCTCATGGTGAGGACTATGAGTTCAGAGCTTCTTCCCTGTGGAGGACTTAAAGCCCTTGGTGTTAGCCTGGCATTCTGCTCACCAGCAATTCTCTCGAGCTACTAATCAAACCCAAGGGCCTGTAGCCCTTCCATGGGCTGCTAGGTTAGGTGGGCTGGTCCTTCACATTGCGGCCCTCTGTACAAGAAAGGAGAAGGGTAAGGCTTTCCTTTTTCATCCTTGCAAGCATTGAGAGCACCTAGTCCCTGCCTGCCAAAAGTGAAGGGAACACTGGGCCATGTTCCCAGCTCTCTGCCAAATCTGTCTTGGTTCCACAAGGTAGGGACCATGAAGTACTGGAAAAATGTGGACAACCATCTTGAGCCAGGGCCTTTTAGCTCAGGGATTGCCACTAGTGCTCAGTGGCCCTCAAGAGAAGAATGGCAGGAGATTTCAGGCTGTGTTCTAGGTGCTGGAGCCCCGAGCTTTGTGGTTATCTTTTGTTATCTGTGTTTTAAGACCTCTCTACTCATCTGTGCTGTTCCAGGTTTTTACCCTCCTCCAGGTCCTCATCCACCCATGGGCTACTACCCCTCAGGACCATATCCACCAGGGCCCTACCCTGGCCCTGGGGGCCACACGGCCACAGTTTTGGTCCCTTCAGGGGCTGCCACCACGGTGACAGTACTGCAGGGAGAGATCTTTGAAGGCGCACCTGTGCAGACTGTGTGTCCCCATTGCCAGCAAGCTATCACTACCAAGATCTCCTATGAGATTGGACTGATGAACTTTGTGCTGGGTTTCTTCTGCTGCTTCATGGGGTAGGTGTGGTATGTGAGTGGGGTGGGCCCACCTCTGCTGCTTCTCTTTAGGTCTCAGCCTGTCTCTCTGTCTCTGCTTCAGGTGTGATCTGGGCTGCTGCTTGATCCCCTGCCTCATCAATGACTTCAAGGATGTGACACACACATGCCCCAGCTGCAAAGCCTACATCTATACATACAAGCGCCTGTGCTGACGGAGCCAGACTTGGACTCATCTGCCTGTCAGTCTAGCCCCATGCTTTGCTCCCCGCATTCAGTGGTCATTTTCCCCATCACTTGGGGTAGTAAGCCGTGCCACTGTCCCCTGAAAATCCTGTCCTCTTTGCCTTGCCCTAACCTGAGCATCTGACTCTTCCAGCAAAAGTTCTGTTGGATTTAAGGCCAAGGGCCAATAGGTGGCAGGGGCAGTAGCACTAAGCTTGTGTGTTGCTGCTGGTTTGATTGACATCTGTGATCTAGAAGTTGGGAAGGGTCTCCTATTGGGGTTCCCATTCTTCCCTATAAGGTCCAAACTTGGTCCTGACTCTCCTTGGGACCAAAAGCAGTGAGAGCAGTACTGGGTCCAGGCATTTCTGATCTTCTGGGCCAAGAGTAGGGCATTGTTTGAAGTCTAGCCTGGAGCCACACAGGACTGAGTTAAGCCCTGGGTTTGTTAAGGTATATGCTGTGCCTCTGCAGTGCCAGAGACAGGCATGACAGAATAACTGCCAGCTCTGGCCCTCAGAACTCTCAGGTATGGTAACCCAGGAACTCCTAACTCCCTGTCCATGTGCCCAACAGCCATCTGGTATAAGGTAGCCAAGAGGGACTCATCTTCATGCATCTCCTTTTGAGTCAGTATATAGACCCTGCTCTCTGGCCACATCTATGTGAGCCACTGTATTTTTCTGGGGCCAGAAGGAATACCCACAAATCTAGCCTGTCCTGTGTACTATGTTCTCATTGTGTGTGGGTGCATCCTCTTCCCATTAACTACTGTGTCCCAGCTAGAACAGGTAGTATATGAGGGAATTCCTTGTAGGTGTAGTGGGATCTACAGCACCCTCACATTGATTCTTTTCTCATTAAGTATTGGCCCTTAGCTGACTTGCTGTCATTGTTCACACTCACATTGGGGTGTTCCAGTAGGAACAGCTCTGGCACTGAGGTGGAAAGGAGAAAAGCAGAAATAAGCGCTGGGAGTACCCTCGTAGACACCAGCCCTGCCCTGGGTATAGCCCAAATCTGTCTTTATTTCCTGAATAGTTTGTGAATTTGCCCCTCTCCTGGTCTCGCACTGCCACTGCATGGCCTCCCATCACTGTGAATTGTGGCCTGGTCTCAGTTTGTAGTTTCTCATTAAATTGGCCTTTTCATTCCCCTGAGCTGGGCCTCTACTGTCTTGCCTGGCTTTCTTCTTTTTTGAGGGAGAGGGTGGGTTTATATGTAAATATACTGGCAGTATACTGAAGCCAACTATCTGGCAACAACATTGATACATAGTGACTGCAAAAACCAGAATTTAATGTAGATCATGATTAAGAAATGCAGCTGTGACTAGCCCAGGGCAGGAGCTGACTTCAGCAGTGGCCATAAGGTTACCTTCTTTCCTGAGATACTTGTTCCATCCACCTACACACTTTGGTGTACATCCATAGCTCCTGCAAGCTGGAGAACCCCCTCCCCACAGCTTGGGCTTGATGTTATCCTACCCTTAAAGTACAGCCACTGGGTTCACAGGATATAGTCTGAGCATACAAATTCTAGACCTACCAATGGCCTAACTTCCCTGAACTGTGAAGGTAGTGTGCTCAATCTATAGTTTTAAGAAGTGTTTCCTCACAATTTAACCCCTTTTTGACTAAAACTTTTACAATAATAGATTCCTATCAATAAAAATATTTAATTTCACATCTCTACTTCAAATGAATTGTGTAAGTAAAGATAGATGCTTTCTAAGTAGGAAACCTCCAAAGTATCACAGCTAGAAATCACGTCCAGATAAATACTATCTTTGTGATGAAGGTGTTGAGTCTTGATGACAAGGAGGGTGTGTAGGAGCACATGAAGACAAAAGGGAGCTCTGCAGGGCCATGAGGTAAGATACCCACTTCCCCACATGGATATAGCATGCCACTGTTCTGAGGGGATTCTGCTTCCTATGGGATATTGGGATCCACAACAAGGTTTCACCCACCCTGTACAAGGTGGGCTGAGCATGGTGATGCACTCCTGTAATAACAAGCATTTGGGAGGCTGTGAAGTAGAATTACCAGAAGTTCAAGGCCACCCTCAGTTATGTAGTGAGCTCAAAGACAACCTGAACTACCTAGCAAGACCCTCTCAAAAAAAGGGCATATGCAGTGTTTATTCTACTGAATGTTATAACCTTTATATAGGTTGCGGGGTGGGGGTGGGGGAACAGCCTAGGTTAGTAGACCTCAACAAGCGTCCTAGTTGACATGGATGAGTTTCTAGGGCTGCAGAAGCAGAGCTCATTTCTGCCCATCCCCAAGCTTCTGAGAGGCCTGGAAATCGAGCAGCATCATTTGGCAAGATATCCCACCCCCAAAGCTTGGTTTGCTGGCTGCTCACTCCTAGCAGGACAAGGATAGCTCCCCACATACTGTGAAGACAAGAAAGAAGAGAATGCGTCCGAGACCCAAGAAGTTCAAGAGCTTTGGTGCAAAGCTGATTCAGAGGCCTGGGCCAGGTATACCTTGCTGTGCTACAGAGAAGATGCCAACAGGCAGAGAGGCTCTAGCATCTGGCTTTTTTATTGGTTGCTTTTTTTTTCAAGCCCAGCATTTTAAAAAGTCACCTGAGGTGGTAGTCAAGAAGTGGAGGTAGGGACGGGCAAAATGGTCACTTGGGAGGAGGGTGCCAGCATGGCAATGACAGGTCCTTCACATGTAGTACCAGGCAAAGAGTCCAGCAGCCAGGGCCACACTGGCAGCCAGAATTAACTGGAGGCTGGGCTTCCTCAGTACACTCATGGCTGTCCGGAAAGGGCACCTGTTGCCTCCCAGGGCACCTGTGTGCAGCACAATAGGAGACATGATATCAGTAGGGGCTGATGACATGCCCACCCCAGGGAAGGGAGCTTAGAACCCACAACCTACCTTTGTCTTGTTGAGCAGTATAGAAGGGGCATTTACGGATGTCTCCCTTCCCATCATGTACAGGGAAGCCATCTTCCAGGGTGTCTCTGGCCAGCATGGAGCCAGCCTGGTCCAGTTCATCGAATATCTGAGAAGCAGAGATCAACAGCCATCCATGGACTGCACAGACTGCCTTCAGAGTAGACACCCTATATCCTCTCTCACAGGGAGCTGGAGCAGGTGCAGTTGTCTAGGAGGATGGACTAGCCATGCAAGCAGCCCCATGGGTAGCAACAGGCAAGACATTAGTGCACCTCTCCCTAGCAGGACATGAAGAGGTATAGCTATATGTGTGCTGATAGCATCGATAGGTGGGTTTTCCCCGGATTATTACCAGGTACTCTTATGCCATGTCAGCTGCCCCTGAAGGAACTAAACCAAAATTATCAGGGTAGAGATGTGTGGAGGAGCTACTGGTACTTCATTTCTGTTTGGTTGGGTTTTTTTTTCGTTTTGTTTTTTTTTTTGGTGGAACCAGGGATTGAACTCAGACCTTTGCACTTGCCAGGGAAGCGCTTGGTACTTCATTTCTAACTGCAGGGGGGTCCCTCCCCATCTTGGGTAGCTTCAGGGCCAGTTGGGCCACTTTCTTCAGCACCTGTCCCCCAAAAGGTCTCCCATATAGCAGGTATATGCTGGCTATTACTAAGGAACAAGAGAAAAATGAGAATATGGGAGAAGATGCCATAGCTGGGCAGACTCATCCTAGGTGGCCGTGGGAAGCTACACTAAAGAGATGCTGGGAGTTATGGTTAGCCTGACACCTCACTTGCCCACAGCTTTTCTTGGCCCCAAGGGCTGACATGATGTGTAAAGGGCCAAATGAGCCTCCTCAATCTTGCCTCCAACTAAAGGCTAGTTGTAAATAGCTACTATGCTTACTCTCCTTGATGAATCTGGCTCTAGCTGAACTTACCAAGCAAGACTTTTCCTAGCAATCCTTGCTAAAAAGGGGAAAATCATCTAGTCCTCAGTACCACTACCCTGTGATGACAGGAAGACAGATAGCTCCTTTCTCATATCTACTGGGGCCTCTCCCTTCCAACCTATCTATAGGATTCTAAAGCCAGGTCTTCATGCTGGAGGCTATCTACTGGGCCTCTACTCCAGTTTGGTTCCCGTCCCTTTATGTGGGACATACTGCAGTTTATCTGTCCTCATGTCACTGAATCTCCCAGAAGTTCTGAATTTGTTCTCCCCCTGCCCCCATAAGAGGTTCCTTGCAGCCCCACAGAGCTAGCACTGTGGTCAGTACCCAGCAGTACCTGCATGTTGTACTCAAAGGCCTTGTTAGCTTCCTCCACGATCCTCTCTTTGGTCTTCAGGCTCAGATCCAGGGCATTCATCCTGGCCCGGTAGAACTGCTTGAACTGCTGGGCATTGTCCACATTCTCAAACTGGTAGAACTGGGTCCCTTCCCCTGTGCTGGGGAGCTTTAGGGCCCGCTGGGCCACTTTCTTTAGCACCTGTCCCCCTGAAAGGTCTCCCATATAGCGGGTATATGCATGGGCCACAAGCAACTCTGGCTCATTTTGACCCACGTAGTGGATCCGTTCCACATACTTCTGGGTAGCCTCAGAGCACATCACCTGCTGCTCCCAGTTTTCACCAAAGAAATATTCCATGTCCTTCGTCAGTGCCTCCTTCCGGTGCAGCTCCATAGGGAAGTACAAGGGGGCAAAAGCTGAGTGGTCCTTGTTTCGGTCCATTTCCTCCTCAAGGGCCGAGTATGTGAAGTAAAGTGCAGTTGTGGCCAGCTACAGGAGTGACAGAAGGTGATGGTGGGAAAGGGCTACCAGCTCTAAAGTCAACCACATCATAGTGGTTAGAGACCAAACCTCAAGTAATCACCGCCTTCCAATCTCCAGTCTCCAAAGACCCAACCTGTGACCCATTTTTATATGGTGAATTACTTAACATATCCAGAAAGCTTTGTTTCTCAAAGAAATGACAAGGTGAATTCTTTAGAACACAGATACTTTTTGTTCCTTTATGTCACTACATTGTTTCAGGAGAACCAGAGCTTAATGCCGAAAATGAGTGAACATGAAGAAAAGCCCAGCTTCTCCTTCAGAACAGCTCAGAGCACCTTCCTCGGGGACTAATGGTCCAACCCCATGTCAAAGTCTGAAATCCAACTTTGTTTGACAGCCACAAACCTTAAATAGTTCCTTCTTAATGTTGCCTTTCAAGAAGTCCTTGACAAACTGGGTGTTTTCTGCCCGGTCATGTGCTTCCTTGGTCCCTTCCTTCAGGAGCTCGGATAGGTCAGGCATTCTGTGGAGATGGGATGTACATGTGTGAGTCCCACCTCCCCAAAAAGGACTGTGAACAAAAGGGGGTCCAGGTCCCAGGGTGACCACTTGGCTAGTCTGGAGGCAGGACTATGTATACTTTGCTCTAGCATGAACAGTTAGGCCTTGTCAGGGCACACAGAACAAATAGACCTTTCTGCCCAAAGACTCAGGTGACATGCAAATATATGGCCTCCTCAAGCCCGGCATGGTAGAGCATGCCTATAGTCCCAGCACGCAGGATCCTGTGCTGTGAGTTTGAGGCCAGTCAGGGCTACACAGTGAATTCAAGGCCAGGCTGAATTAAACAAGATTAACTTGTTTAATCTCCATGTTGAGAACCGATGTCTTATTAGGAACTATACACAGCCGGACCTTGTCTCAAAAAAAAAAAGCCACCTCAAAAGTACAAGTCCTGGGGCTGGTGAGATGGCTCAGTGGTCTAAAGCACCTACTTAGAACAAGCTAAGCTAAGCAAAACACAGGGACTGCGGTTCGATCCCCAGCACCAC